AGGGATATCCAGCACAGATATCCAGTAGGGTTGTCCAAGTAGGTAGGGATATTCAATAGGGTTGTCTAAGTATGGATGGATGTCCAGCAGGGATATCAATAGGGTTGTCCAGGTAGGGATGGATATCCAATAGCGTTATCTAGGTAGGGATATACCTAGTTCAATAGGGTTATCTAAATAAGGATATCCAGTAGGGTTGTCTAGGTAGGGGTATCTCGGTAGGGGTTAGTGCATCCCCAGATCTTGCAGGGAGGAGGAGAGCCCGTGATGTTCTCCAGCGTGGAAGCAGGGAGCTCGTGCTCCGCTGCGGCTGCCTCGCATCCCTGCGGTCACCCCGGATCTGCTCCATGTTCCCACGGTGACACCCCGGATCTGCTCCATGTTCCCACGGTGACACCCCGGCGCTGTGGAGACCGGTGGTCCCGACAGCGGGAGCACATGGCCCTGGCCGGCCTCGCTCGGAGCTTTATGATGCCGTTCCCATCCATGTTCCCCAGGACATGGATCCTGTCGCTTTCCCGCTGGACAGGATTTACCGATGTCCACCCGAACGTGGCTCCCGCTGCGAGCTCGGCTGAAGGTGCTCCTGAGCCAGGGTGGCCCGAGATGCCCCAGTGACGGCCACCACCGTCCAGCCCTCGGCCATGGGGCTCGGAGGGAGCGGGAAGGAGCCGCCTCCGGAGCCTCCCGCTTTCCCACGGCRCTGCCTCCAAGCGCGTCAGCAGGAGGCCCACGGAGGAGACATAAATCCATGGGACCTCCCGCTCCGCCGCGGTCGCTCCGAGGGGGATCAGCTCCATAATTCAGTGCATTACAGCCCGGGGCGGCTTTAGCAGCCCTGCGCCAGCTCTCGGCYTGGGGGCAGCGGGATTTTGTGGGCGGACCACAAATCTGCACACAAAAACCTTGGGAAAGCCGTAAAAGCARCAGGGCTTTTGGAGGGGGTGACACCAGCATTTGGGTCATTATTATTATTTTTTTCCCCTTGATGTTTGAAAACTTTGATGATAAAACRGTGCGATTCACAGTGTGTGTTATTGGCATAAGGCACTGATTGCAGATGCAATTAGATCCCGGGCCGGTTTCACCCGGTGCTGTGGGGCTTGGAAGGTGCCTCCAAGGTCTTCTCCTCATCTTCGTTTCCCCCCTTCCCTGCGTGGTCGGGGTGGCRCTTCCCTGCTCAGCAGATTTGGGGATGGATTCCGCGTTTCCCGCGGGGGCTCTYGGCAGCTCGCTGGAAAAACACGACCCCTCGTGTGAAACCACCTCGGCATCGACGGCTTGAAACGGGGCGCAGGGACGGACTTCGCTCCCTGGCTTGCCCTTCCCTCCTCCGCCTCCTCCTTTTCCCTTCTCTCCTTCTTCCCGGTCTGAAGCGGCTCTTCTCGCCGGCCTAAGCAGGAAGCGGTTTGAGCGCAGCTCCGGGCGGCGACTTGGCAAAGCTCTGTTTGCTCAGCCGAGAGCTTTGCCAGGCGGGCCGAGCTCCGGGGCCGCCTYGGGATTTTGTCGCGCTCCCGCTGCCTTGCGATGCTCCGAAGCTGACGGAACCGGCCCCGCCGAAGGAGCAGGAGTTTCCTTATGGGTGGGTTTCCCACAAGACTCCTTTGTGCTGCGCTGACCATGGGACCTGGAGATGGAGCCAAAGGGAAATCYGCGGCCCGGCACAGCTTGAGGAGCTTTAATGGGAGCGAGTGGGGCACGAGGAAGGACAAGGTTGAACTGCGGAGTCCGGCACTCTGACAGCTCCATGTGGGACTCAGTTCCCTACACTGAGCACCAAGAAGCTGCTCTGCCCCATGGCTCTGCATCACGGACCTGCGGAGACCTTTCGGCACCACGCTCCCCATCTCCCTGGAGCTCTCACCCTGGATCCAGAGCCATTGCCCCAAACCCGGATGGGTAATAGCAGGAGGAATCCCAGGAAAGAGGCAGCTGAGGAGGGAGCATCTCACCCCAGGAGTGACCATGGGGAGAGCAGCAGGAGCCTGATCCYGGCTGCTCCTGCCCCACGGCGCTGGGGCCGGTGCCGT